GTTGTGTGTGTGTGTGTGTGTGTGCGCGCTGTGTTTGTGTGTGTGTGTGTGTGTGTTTGTTGTTGTGTGTGTGTGTGTATGTGTGCGTCTGCTCGCGCGCGTGTTTCGCGCGTGCGTGGTGATGGTGGTGGGCGGGTTGGGGTGGGGGCAAGGGCTTAAGCGGCGCGGGGGCAATGGGGGGGGGGTCGCGGCCGCCCGAGGGCGGCCGAGCTCGACGCTGTTACCGCTGTTCCCCCCTGGGCCTCCAAGGGGCGCGCGTGGGTCTCAGATGGCGGGGCGCCCCGTGGGCTTGATCGCGCGTGTGCTGACGGGGCTTAAATTCTAGTGGCTATTGGCGCGCGCGCGCGCGTGGCACTCCGTGCACTTTCCAGTGATTGCGCATTTCAGGCGGCCAGCGGTTCGCGCGACAGTCAAGGTGCGTGGGGCGCGCGACCGCGCCGAATCCGCTGACGAAGAGTGGTGCAGCGTTTTCGGGGCCGAGGTCGCGTCCATTCCGCCAGTAGAGTGGGGGGTCGGAACTAATGGGCATGCCAGGAGATGCGCAGAGGGGCTGAGGCTTCTCCCGGGCCCCCCCAGGACCCGCCTCAATCCGCGCGCACTGAAGGGCGCTCTCAGCATCATTCAGGGGGGGAAGTTCGAACCGCGCTGCGCGCGGAGAGGCGAATGGGTGCGAGTGGCGCTCGCGACCCTGTCCAGCACTGTCTCGCCTCCCTGGCGCCTGTGCTTCGAGGCGTGCCAGAAGGGGCCCGGCTGATCTTTGCCAGTCATCCATGAAGCAATGAAGTGGGAGAGCACAGGTTTCTCAGTAGAAGGCGTGGCGGACGCCGCCGCCGCGTTCACTGGGCACCCCCGCAGGGTTGTTAAGCCATTCATCGTTCAAGCCAGGACAGAGCTCCTAGAGGAACTCGGGGGGGATCTGACCTCGTCGCTGCAGGCTGGAGAGCCTCGAAAGGTCGTTGCGAGCCTTGGCGGAGCCAAGTCCACGTGTGCGCGCGCCCGCCTTCCCGCGATAAAAGAAGATTTTTGCATCTCCCTTTCCCCTTCTCTCAGACCGCCGACGCCGTCGCGCATGGGTTTGTTTAAGACATTCGCTGCGATGGGAGCTGGTGGGGTCATGGGCCCCGAAGAGTTTGTTGGATAATCCAATCGTCACTCCAATGATTCCTCTGACAAGGCCCCGGACCGCGTCGAGCGCCCCCTCCGGCACCGTCTGATTATGGGCCGCCCCCGAGAGTGTTTCGTGCAAGTCGAAGTCGGGGAAGCAGCCGGGGCCCGCAGGAATCGGGCGCGAATTGCCCGTGGCAGCCGCTCCGGACACGGCCGATTTTTTGCGCCCTTTTCACAGTCGCAATGAAGGCCGCGGCGCCGGGGGCGGGGCCCCTGTCGCGGAGAAGGGGGGGGCGGCGTCCCAATGCTTACAGAGCCGCCGTTAGTTCTCCCCCCTGTAGCTGCAGGGGGGTCTTGCGCTGCTCGGGGAAGCGACGGCCAAACATCGTCGCGCGTTTTTGAGGTCTTTTGTTTTGTCGTTTATCCAAGGCTTTGCCAGGCCCAACCAGATGGGGGCCTTGCGCGGGAGAGGCGCTGACCGCGCTTCCCCAGCGACTGGGGCGGCCTTCGATTTCCTTTGGAGCAGAGGCAAAAGAGCGTTGCTGATTTTTTCGGACCTGCGGGGCGCCCACCGCGGAGTGTTGCGCCAGTTTGCGGTTGAGAGTGCTCCGTCAGACGAAGGAGAGGTCGTTGACAGGTTGCAGGCCTTATTCGCGCTCGTATTTTCTTTTCGGGCCAGTCTTAGGCAGCCCGCCCTCGTCGCCGCAGCTGCTCCCCCGTGGCCCGCTCGCGTGGCGTCTCCATGGCCCGCTCGCGCGGCGTCCCAGGCGGGGTCAGGCTCGCCGCCAACTTAGCTCTCGCCGAGTCGGGCACGCGCGCGGGTATCTGCTCGGGGACATATTGTTAATCGCCGGCGTTCCTCCAGCTCGGGCGATGGTGCGCAAGGACCTCGAGCAGCGCGGGTTGCAGGTCCCAGCGCAAGAAGTGTTTGGCGAGTCGTCTGTGCCGCGCAATCAGGTTTTCTGTCGAGGCGAGTTCTGAGCGGCAGACAGCCGCGATCTCCAGGGGGCTGCTTTCGCGGATGACCTTCTTGCCCGCGCCCCCCCCCTCGACGCGGGAATGGGAACCGGCGGCCCAAGAGATGGCCGACATGGTGCATGGAGAGCTTGTCAGGACAGGCTTTGCGCCAAACTTTGACAAGGGTGAACGGGAGATCATGGCCTTTTGCGCGGGGGAAGGCCCCGCTGCGGCTCGAGTAGCGCACGAAGTTCAGGGCTCGCTTGAAGTCGGGGCCTATGGCATCTAGCTTCATCTGGCAGAGTGCAATGCGTACCTGGGGGGCATGCTCCACCGTGGTGGGTCCTGGGGGCCCGAAATCAGGAAGGGGCCATGATCGGGCCGCGGCCCCGGGGCCCCCCAGGCGCGCCGCTGCGTCGGTCTGGCCAAATTTCCTAACGAAAACCAAGCTGAAGGATGCTGTGCTGTGTTCCTGGTTCGAGATTTCTGTGCCGAGCAGTGTCCGGGGCGCTGCCGGCAGAAGCGCAGGGGCGAGCCAGCGGCAAGTATTTCCACGCCTTTCGAGCCGCGCTGGAGCCAGAGTTGCCGAGGCCGCCAGAGTCCAGCGCTTCCGGCGAGGAAATCATGCTGAAGGCGGGCAAACCTTCGCTTTTGCTAGTGCTCAGGCTTTGGAGGCTGAGATTTTTTTTTGAGAATCGTCGAGGGTGGATCAAAAGCTATGCTAGCCATGCTTGGCATGCCTGTTGGGCTTGAGGGCTCCAGGGCGTCTCTGCTCCTGAAGGGCCTCGAGCGACTCCCCCCGGTAGTCTCGCCCCCTTTCCCCTTCTCCCCCCCTGGTGACTTGGCTTCGCGGTCGAGGCTCGCTAGGGGGGCCCGAAGCATGGGTGGGTGGGGGGGTGGGGTGGTGGTGAGTCGGCTGAACATGGGGCCCCGGGCTGGTTGATGCTGTGGAGTAGGGGTGTTCTGGCTCAGTGCGTGGCGACGGGTAATCCTTCTTTCTGCGCGTGGCGCTGTGGCTGCCCGTCGAGAGGGCGCTGAGCTCGGCGTCGTGCTTGCGCTGCGCTTCGGCGGCCGCGGCGAGCAGTTCCGCGTCGGCGTCTTCGTTGGCCTCTGCGTGTGTCCAGAATGCGACGACGCATCCATTGCCCCCATATTTGGACAACCCGCAGAGCTATGCATCATCCCGAGTTAGACTTTGACAGAATAGTGGCCGCAGGGAGCGCGTGTCAGTCTTGCAAGACGCATTTTTTTGTATATAACAAAAACTTACTAATCTGAGGTTGTTCAAGCACTTCGGACGTTGGCCCGAAATAGGTTTGCCGACTTTACGACCCTCGCGCCATTCTCACGGGAGCAACTTCTGCGGCGGCGTGAGGGCGACGTTGCTTTTGAATCAGAGCTTGCATATCCTGGATTATGCGAGGAAAAACAATTGTCAAATGCATGGGGCCAGGCCTTGGAGGGGCCGCCGACGATCGCTGGCAGAGGCTAGCCCCAGGGGCCAGATCAGCTGCAGAGTTTCGAGTGGCGCATGTTCTCAATGTCGTTCCAATACTTGCGCCGTCGCCCCCGCGGCGAGTTTTTTTTTACATCTGCCGTTTTCCTCGGGGCAGCGGCGGCCGCAGGACGCGCGGCAGCACATTGGCAACCTTGTGTCCGAGCGGGGGCTCAGTGTGGTAACGCTGACCGTGGATGTCGCCAGCGACGCTAAAGCTGGCGCCTTTTTTCCTCGCGTGCAGCTGTCCAAGCGTTGATTGGCCTGGTGCGTGGGTCGCGTTTGGGCTGTGGTGGCTGGGCCGCCTTGTGAGACTTTCAGTGATGCTCGTAGGCGCCCCCCTCTCGAGAGCATCATTCGGTCTAATGAGTTCCTGTGGGGTATGCCTGCCCGAGCGCAGCTGACTGCGATCAGCTTGACCTCTCCAGCGCCCTTCTTCGCGCAACCGTTCAATTCGCTCTGGCGCGTTCCGCCGCGGGTGCTAGGTTTGCCACGGCACGCGCAGAGCGCCCGATGGAGGAGCACTTGCCCTCGAGCTGGAAGGGCGAGGAAGTCTCGCAACTGTTCTCGTTCTCTGGAGCCCATGCGAGCACGATCTATGACCGCCGCCGACAAGATCGGTAAACGTCTATGATCCGGTTGGCGCAGTTTTGTCCGAGTGGACTATTCGCAGCCCCCCTCCCACCGCCGTCGGCGACCAGGGCGCCCTCTTTCTCCTAAGGGCAGATGCAGAATGCATCAAAACACGCGCGGTGGTGTATATAATTTTGGGTACCAGGGGGCGGAGTTTTGTTTGCGCCGCGGCAGATGCAGGACTGCTGCCGCCAAACAGTATCCCCCAAATATGTGCAGGTGGATGGCCCGCGCCATAATGGGCGGGCTCCCGCCCGCAGGTGCCAGCTCATCCGAGCTCTACGGCCGCGTGGAGGCGCGCGCCCCCCATCTTCTCCCCCTTCCGCACCCCCCTCGATCCCTACATGAAACAGCGCTGATGGGGGCAGCCTGCCGAAGACATGGCGAGAGGGAGTGCGGGGTGGGTGGGGGCACGCCGTCGTGTTTTTTTTTTTTTTTTTTTTTTTTTTTTTTTTTTTTTTTTTTTTTTTTTTTTTTTTGTTTTTTTTCTCTCTCTCTCTCTATTTGTTTTTTGTTTTTTCGCATCGTGGTCGTGGTCGTCGTTTCTGTCATCGTCGATGGCCGCCCGCGCGCGCTGCGTTTCGCTGTTGCATGTCGTCCGCCGTGGATCAAGCTCATAAAAGGGGTTTGAACACAACAGTTGGAGGAGGAGGATGGGGGGAAGAGGAGGACGAGGAGGAGGAGGCAGAGGAGGAGGGGGGGAAGGGGGAGGAGGAGGACGACGAGCAGCAGGAAGAGGAGTGTCATGGTGCGAGAGCCAGACGACGAGGACACCTCCGCGGGGAGTGGCGCCCTCGGGCCGCCCCAGGAGGCGCCCGGACCGGTGCGGGAGCGGGCGCTGGAGCTGTTCAAGGACCAGTGGAGGGGAGGCGCAGCGGGCGGGAACGGCAGCGGGGGCGGCGGAGGCTGCCACCGCCAAGGCGGCGACGAGTCGGCAACACCCCAACATACTTATACTATATGTGCGTCGCCCTCCCAGGGGCGACGCGCGCACCGAGGAATCTTATAGTATATGCGTTGTGGCGGGCGCATTCTGGCCACACCGCTCGGGAAACGATATACTACAAGATGGGTATACTATATGTTCGGGTCGGACGCGCGCGTCCAAGGATGACATCTAGTACTAGTACGTCTTTGTGCATCCCAACGAGGGGGAGGGAGGGATTAGCCGGACGGTGGTGATAGGCCTCCCAAAGCATCGCCATCGTTGGCTGTTGCCACGAAGGCGCAAAGACGCCTTTTTCTAGCCGAGGCACTAGCACTAGAAGGCTGTATTGATTACATACCTCCGTGGTTTAAGCGCCCCGGCCTTTAAACTGGTGCATTCGGCTGGCCACGCATGGCCGCAGCTTGCGCAGAGAAAGAGGAAGCACGACCCCTGCCCCCTCACGTCGCGAAGAAACCTGCCCCAGGGGACCTTGCGCGGGGGGTGGGACCGTCAAAGAACCATTCGGGATGAAAAGCCAGTCCCGAGGGAAGGCTGTAGACTTTCGAAGGTCCATGTTGCGAAAAATTCACAAAAGCGGTGTATGGAGGAGGAGTAGGAGGAGGAGGAGGAGGAGGAGGAGGAGGAGGAATTGGAGGAGGAGGAGGAAGAGGAAGAGGAAGAGGAGGAGGAGGACGAGGAGGAGGAGGAAAAGGAGGAATGCTTAGACCAATCATCATGATGAAACATAATAGACGTAATTGTAAAACAAACAAGAGTACGAGTAAACATAAGATGAGAAATAATTATCACATCGCGAAGATATATAAACATACCTATGCGACCACCCTTCGGGTGATAAGGAGGTTGTGTGGGGGAGATGGGGGAACCAACATCTGACTCAATTGATCACACCATCGATTTCACTCAGCGGGACACCACGGGACACCACGGGACGCCACGGGACACTTGTCGACATCATTATCGATTTCATTATCGATCTCACTCAACGGGACACCACGGGACACCACGGGCCACCACGGGACACCACGGGACACCGTGGGACACCTTTCGATCTCATTATCGGTCTCACTGTCGATTTCACTATCGATCTCAGTCAACGGGACACCATACCACACTACTGGACACCACGCGATTCTTCGGGACACCACATCGATTTCACTATCGATTTCACTATCGATGTCATTATCGATCTCAGTCAACGGATCACCATACGACACCACTGGACACCACGGGATTCTTCGGGACACCACATCGATTTCACTATCGAGTTCAGTATCGATCTCACTATCGATCTCACTCAACGGGACACCACGGGACACCTCAGTATCGATTTCACTATCGATTCCACTTTTTGGGACATCACGGGACACCCCGGGGCACCACAACGATCTCAGTATCGATATCAGTATCGATCTCACTACCGATCTCACTCAACGGGACACCACGGGACACCACGGGACACCACGGGACACTTGTCGATCTCAGTATCGGTGTCACTATCGATTTCACTTTTTGGGACACCGCGGGACACCACGGGACAATTTGGGGAACCACATCGATTTCACCATCGATTTCACTCAGCGGGACACCACGGGACACCACGGGACGCCACGGGACACTTGTCGACATCATTATCGATTTCATTATCGATCTCACTCAACGGGACACCACGGGACACCACGGGCCACCACGGGACACCACGGGACACCGTGGGACACCTTTCGATCTCATTATCGGTCTCACTATCGATTTCACAATCGATCTCAGTCAACGGGACACCATACGACACCACTGGACACCACGGGATTCTTCGGGACACCACATCGATTTCACTATCGATTTCACTATCGATGTCATTATCGATCTCAGTCAACGGATCACCATACGACACCACTGGACACCACGGGATTCTTCGGGACACCACATCGATCTCAATATCGAGTTCAGTATCGATCTCACTATCGATCTCACTCAACGGGACACCACGGGACACCTCAGTATCGATTTCACTATCGATTCCACTTTTTGGGACATCATGGGACACCTCGGGGCACCACAACGATCTCAGTATCGATATCAGTATCGATCTCACTACCGATCTCACTCAACGGGACACCACGGGACACCACGGGACACCACGGGACACCTGTCGATCTCAGTATCGGTGTCACTATCGATTTCACTTTTTGGGACACCGCGGGACACCACGGGACGATTTGGGGAACCGCATCGATTTCACCATCGGTTTCGGTATCGATCTCACTGTCGACCTCATTTTCGATCCCGGTATCGTTTTCACTATCGATCTCACTCTAAACGGGACACCACGGGACACCACGGGACGCCGCGGGACACCGCGAGCCACCGCCGGACGGCCGGACGGGCGTGCGGGGGAGAACCGTTTGTTTTGACTCCGCCCCAGCATCGGCGGACACCACGGGACACCACGGGATTCTTCAGGACACCGCGAGCCACCGCCAGACGGACGGACGGCCGGGCGGGAGATAATCGTTTGTTTTGATTTCGCCCTAGCAACGGCGGGTTCATTCCGTTTGCGCGCCCACGCAGCTTCGCTTCGCCGGCACGCACGACACGGAAGAAACGAGATGATATTCTGGTTGGGGGTTTTCGTTCCGTTGCGATCTCACCCCCCAACTTCCGACGAATAACAGTATGAAGACAAAGGCGAATCATGATATTTTGAAATCTATTTCAATAAACGTAGTAATACTACGAATGCTAATGATCAGAATATTATCACTCATACTAGCAACAATGATGAGATACATAATCATTCGAAAAAGAAGAGTGATAATAGCAATAATAATAATGAGCATACTGAGAATGATTTGAAGAGCGAAATGATGAGGAAGAAGAACAATACTGATACTAGTACTAATAATACGGAACATATGATTAATAACAACAGTAGGGTTGATAATCGTGATAATTCGACTGATAATTCGACTGATAGCGAATGCTAAGAACAAATCGTGATAATTCGACTGATACGAGCAATAGGAATAGTAACGATACTACTAACATTAATCATGAAACCTAATAATAACTAGAAGGCGCATTATAAGAAACATGATAATGATAATACGAGTGCTAAGAATAATAAAACGAATGTAACTTCTAGTAAGAATACGAATGATACTAACAACACGAAACATAATAATACGACGACCAATGAGAAACTTACGAATAAGAGTGAGAATAACAATAGTATTAGAAATACTAATGTTACGATGCGAAGAACAGTAATACTACGAGTAATACTAGTATGAATAATCAGAAGAAGACAAGTCATCAGACGAAAACGAAGCAACAAACATAACAATAGTACGAAATATACGACACTGAATAATATTACAATTGGTAAACATACGATTACCAGTCATTCGCATGTTAGTAATAACGATACTAATAATCGTAGCACCGGTAATCACACTGACAGTAGTAGTGCTACTTCTACTCATAATGATACGAATTTTGCTAGTGCAATTAATCATAATAATGATAGAGTTCTACTACTACTACTACTAATTTCAAGAATGTTAAGTATACCAAAAATAATGATATTATTATCATTATTAAGAATAGTAATGATGAAGCTATTGATAAGAATAATGTTACGATCGATACTAGGATGAAAACTGCTAATAACACTACGAAGAAGACTAATGATAATAATAATGCGAATCGTAATAAGACGCAGAGGACGAGGAGGAAGAGGAGACATAGGAGGAGGAGGAAGAAGTGGAGGAGGAGGATGATGAGCCATCCGAAAAAAAAAACCCTTGTAAGACTACGACGAATAATGATCATACTACTAGCAGAACGAATATTCTTACTAATGTTAATCTTAACATTCCAAATAATAACAATACTAATATTAACAAGGAGAGTAATAAACATGCTAATAGCAAGGTTGAGAGTCAGAATGATAGTACACCTAACGCGGATAATACTATTACTAAGAATATCCAGAAACATACGAAGACGAATTCTGCGAATAGTATTAATAATAGTCATGACACTAATCATCATGTTAATAAGATGACGAATGTAAGTAACAAGAATAATACTACGAAAGAAAACAATAGTACTACGAAGACTATGGGAAAATAATATTCGTAATCATGCACATGTTAATAACACTAATATTGAGACTATGAATAGCACTCAGAAGACTAGTACTAATATTAAGAATGATAGTACGCATAATATTAAGCAGAATACGAAGAAGTCAAACAAACATATTCATCATAAGAATACGAAAATTAGTAGCAATACGAATAGCACTAATATTAGCAATAACAGTAACTCCTAATAGTAACACTAAAACTAACACTAATATTATTATTTTTATCAGAAGAGGAATACTATTACCATTACTACAAAGAAGACTTTGCATAACACAAGAAAATAATGACACTGCTACGAACATGACAGGCATAATCATATACGAACACGAACAATATTAAGGAGAAGAATCGCACGAATCATAATAATACTAAGGACACTAATCATTATAATATTAGTTCGTAGTAATAAGGATGATAATGGGCAGAGTACTAATAATACTACGAATAAAAATGCCACGACTAATTATATTCATCGTACTTATATCAATGATAAAAAGAAACATGACAAAGCATAGAAACATGATACCAGTACGAATAATAAGAGGAGGAGGAGGTGGAGGAGGAGGAGGAGGAGGAGGAGGAGGAGGAGGAGGAGGAGGAGGAGGAGGGGAGGGGGAGGAGGAGGAGAGGAGGAGGAGGAGGGAGGAGGAGGAGGAGGAGGAGGGAGGGGAGGAGGAGGAGGAGGAGGAAGAGGAGGAGGAGGAGGACGAGGAGGAGGAGGACGAGGAGGAGGAGGAGGAGGAGGAGGATTGG